TTGGTTGGATAAATATTGTATAAATAATTGATTTTCACATATATTTTAATTTAAATTTTCCCTGTAAACCCCCCATTGAAGATTATGAAATTAATACTTTAAGCTGCAATATTTAAATAGCTTGCTTAATTGCTAACACATGGACTGAGATTTTCAAATTGCAAATCTCAAAAGGTCAGGTGTGCCACTTAAACCTTGATTTCATTGATATTGAAAAGAACGTGAAAGAGAGAAGTGTGTAACCAGTTTCCAACCTTTCCGTGTTTAAGTTATACTATACTGAACGTAGTCATTAGCAACTTTTCTATGGAAAGAGTGTTGGGAAGTCAAGTGAATCCACAGGAAACTGACATACTTGATCCTCAAAGAAAAAGGTTTGTTTTTACCTTGTACTACATCTGACTGATCTCACTTTTTTGGAATGAATAAGATCAAGAAGTGAATGGACGAAAAAGCCTATTATAGCCAATGCAGCAAAAGATGTAAGAAAAATGTGACAAGCCTGAAGGTTGAATGTATTTCAGGATAGGCAGCTGGCAAGCATAGATGACCTTAGCATATCTGATGGAAATATTTCATGGGCCATAGAACATAGTCACTGCAAAAGAGTCATCTATGTAAAAAGAGTCATCTATGGAAAATATACCCTCCCCCACTAAGAATTCAACAAAAATCAAATTTGAAAAACTACGGATTCCTGAATTTTGATCCTTAACAACTTAGCCCTGATGTTTTACATCAGATAGATTCCATGAAAATTATTTTTAAAAAAGAAACGTGCTTACTAGGAAAGTATGTAACCTAATCTTAGCATGTAAACTTGAGGATAAAATAATTTGTAGGCATATGAATGCTGGGTGTGGAAGAGTAGGGATGGAGGGAGAGGATGAGAGAGAGAGAGAGAGAGGGAGCATTCTCTGAATTTATTTGATCTTTGAGAAGGAAGAAAGCAATCCTTTGGGTGGAGCTGGACCGAGACTGAAACAAACTCTTCCTGAAATGTTAGGGCATAAAAGAACTGTGAGGGGATCCACTTTGTACCTCCATAAAACCTATGATCACAGAAATAACTACTTGTAAAATTTTTCTTTCATTTTTTTCTTTATAGAAGGAGAATGCCATATAGATTAGACAGCATATCATTAAAAACTGGAATATAGTAGGCATTCAGCCCATGTATACCCAGGGAAAAGAAAAACCTTTCCCTTCAAAATCAACTCTTTAGTACGTGCTATGAGAATGTAGATAAAATACGTTCAAAAATCAAACGTATGAGATATATATATGTAAAACTATATGTAGGACTTTAGTTTCAATTTTCAATAATATACATGAATAACTAGAAGTATGCTGATGCTCCTAGATTTACAATGGAGTTACATCCCAATAAACCCATCATAAGTTGAAAATATTGTAAATGCTTTTAACATACCTAACCTGCTGGGCATCATAGCTTAGCTTAGCCTACCTTAAACACACTAAGAACACTTACATTAGCCTACAGTTGAGCAAAATCATCTCACTGCTGCTGCCCACCACCAGGGGAGAGTCCTGTGCCATATATAACCTGCCTGGGAAAGATTAAGATACAAAATGTGAAGTATGGTTTCTACTGTATATGTGTTGCTTTTGCACCATCATAAAGATGAAAAAATTATGTCAAACCTTTGTAAGTTGGGGACCACCTGTACATTCATTTTTTTAAAAAATCATCTACATGGAAGTGAAGGCTTTATTGAGAAGGTCTGTATTCTGAGTTCATTCTAGCCTGCAGTAAAGATTTACTGAGTTTCTGCATAATATCACTCAAGTGCTATGTCAGACTCATAGTCCTTTTTCTCCACTGCAAAGTAGAAGGTGATTCATGCCGACAGAAAGAGAGAAAATGAAGCGTACTGAGAGTTGCAAGAGAAGAGTGAGAGAACTCACCTAGTGGGATATCAGAGAGCATCATGGAGAAGTTGGCACCTGAGCCAGGCCTCAAAGGATGCATAGTATTTGAACAGGTCAGGATTGGGAAGATCATTGTAGTCAAAGGCCCTTCCATCAACAATCCTCATTCATCCTACTAGTGGGTGTTGCTCTTACTCTGGCCAAATGCCTAAGAATTGGAAGGACATGACTTCTCATCTGTGAGTTGACCCAGTCAGTTAAGAGAATTAATGTCATTCTGCATAACACTGAGAAATACTAAATGAAGCAGTTGCTTATTCTAAAACCTAGAGCAAGAAAATGAATACGTTAAAGAAACGTATCCTATGTATTTCTTTTGTGATTAAATTTAAGACAATGACCATGTGTTGTCTGGAGAGAACAATAGAATGGATAATTACTTCCTTTAGGAATCATCATTTCATTACTGTTAAATTTACCCTGCTATCATTTGTGTGTATTCAATTTTGTGCACCTTTGCTATACGTTTACACCCTTCTCTCCAGTTAAATGCCAGTTGCTTCGTTGCCTTCTTCATTTCTCCCAGCCTTTCTGCTCTCAACCCCTCTAACACCGAAATCAAAGGGGAACAAACAAAATGAAGGATAGAGAAGACAGAGATGAAAAATTATAAAATAGAAGGACAGAGGAGGAACAGAAAGATGGTGACAAAGTACGGCTGGAGACTGGAGAACAGTTGCTGATGGCATCGCCATCATCAAGCCTTGCATCTGCACAAAATCATAACAGCAAAGATATATTTCTGTGGTACCCAAGGAGAGAAAAATCAGGTCTGTAAAGGAGTATTTCTAGTGCTTCGATAACCATGAAACTGCCCATGGTTCTCCATGAACTGCACGGCTAGTTTTTCTTTAGGCAAGGGCTGCATTAGCTCATTAAAACTGGAGAGGAGAGGGTTCCAAGAGGGCTACGGACTGAGTGGAAGCTGCACTGACACTCTCCCGGGACCAAACTGGAAGTACAACTAAAATATAGCAAAACCATGCTGAATGATCAACTGCAACTGAGGATGAGCTGGAGAGCACTCTCATAACCTAGGAGGAAAAGTGGAGACCACATAGAGACTGGTAGGAAGTGAGCAGGCGAGAGGGCTGGCTGGCCCCCACAGGCAGCAGCTGAAGGCCCAGGGGGATATCTCAGCTGTGGGGGTTCCCACTGGGGACTCTGGGGACTAAACCCCAGGCTGGGCTTCCCAGCCCAGAGCACTAGTCATCTGGTGCCCACATAACATCTGGCTGTGAAGAGCAGCTGGGTTTCTGTCCGCCAGGGAGAGATGGCTGGAAAGGCAGGTGCCCTCTCAAAGAGCCAACGCACAAAGTTTCCTGTNAGCTGAAGGTGCAGAGGGATATCTCAGCTGTGGGGGTTCCCACTGAGGACTCTGGGGACTAAACCCCAGGCTGGGCTCCCCAGCCCAGAGCACCAGACATCTGGTGCCCACATAACATCTGGCTGTGAAGAGCAGCCGGGTTTCTGTCCGCCAGGGAGAGACAGCTGGAAAGGCAGGTGCCCTCTCAAAGAGCCAACGCACAAAGTTTCCTGTGCAGCCACTCACCCTGGGCTCCAGCAGAGGGAGGGCAGAGTGCACTGGAGCTGTGTGAGGAGAATCCACCAAGTCACCCCAACTCTCTTTGTCCCTCCATCCTAGGTTTAGTTATGGTTTCATTTTGTTGTTAGTTTCTGGGCTACCCCAGTGTCCCCAGAATGGCTTCTCAGTTTTTCATCACCAATAAAATTATCTCCCTACTTTAAATTCCCTCTGCTTTAAGTATTCCCTGAGTTTCCTGTTGTCCCAGTTGGATTCCAACTGCTACAATCACTCATTATAAGACAATAGCTGTCTTTCAGCTTGATTTAATATGAACAATTTTACATTAGGAAGGACCATGGAAAGTGTTATTATCTGTGTATAACATGTTAATGGATGCTTATGCAACAGTGAACAGCAGACATAGAAGAGGGTAGGAAACAAAATCCCATTAGTCATTCAGATGTGATCTTCAGGAAGAGAATTATAATTCACCAACCCCAATACACATGATACTTAACCACATAGATTAAACAATGCATTTTCATTGTACATGCTCCCTAGATGATCCCTAGAAATGAACTCATGCCAACATCTTGGCTGTAATAAGTCAGTGTAACTCTGAAAGAATATCCTGGGAAAGCAGTAACCCTCTTCTTCATCCACCTACAAACAGCATCCATCTGATTCAACTAGGACTGTCTTTTCTTGGCAAATATGGAAAATATATGTGGAAGCCAGTATAATCTTCCCCTTCCAGTTCCTCACTTCACTAAATATGTAAACTAGGGAACCTTTTACAACAACATATATGATACTAATATAACAAACAACAACATTTTCCAGTTACCGACTGGTTATGTGACATCAATGAAGCTTTTCCCAAGAACTAATATTAAGGCCTGATAAAAAATATTTTCTTATCATTTAACTTAAAAATCAACACATTTTTACAAGAAAAGTTGCACGCAAACTTATCTTAAAGAGAGAGACGGGTTTTAGAATTGCCTGATATATAGAACCCAATGTGTTTCAATAAAAATGTGCTCATGGGGAAGCTCAGGGATGTAGGAGACCAAATACTACCAGTGCTTGTCTTAGCTCCTGGCCCTAAGAGGCAGTTACTTCTGCCCATAAAGCAGGTTTATTTTATTCTGAAGTCATTTAAAACTGAATCATATGGCTAATGCCTTAGTTTGCATTACATGTACATCCAGTAGTCTTTGCATCTCAACATGGCCTACCTGGGCTTCCCAAGATGGAGAAAGTGCACTGGCTCAAATCTGTCAGTCTTCATAGTATGTATGGTTCTTATTATCAATTAATAAAGCAGCATGATGAATTTGTATTACAATATGATAAATTTGAAAATGTGCACCCCCTCTGTGAAAAAAGTATGGATAAGTTATGTCCCTTAGCCTGCAAGGTTAATCTTACATATGGCAAAATCACCTGTTCAAAACTCCCTGAAACATCTTTCCCAGAAAATGCCTCCCACCAACATCCATTTCTTCTTTCCTACCTGAACGTCTTCTTAATATCTTCTGCTTGGATTGTCTTGAGAATCTCTTGGTATAACTGGCGATCAAGTGTTCCTGAAGATGTTGAATTTGAAGGGCATTTTTTATGTGCATAATAGCCTATCAAAATTCCAAAAATAAATAAGATGATGGCTGTACAAAGTATTTTTAAAAGGCGGCAAAAGTTGCAGTGGTTACTCTTTGGTGCAGATCTTGTATAGCGGGTGGTATAGTCAGGCTCTTCTTGAAGTCGCTGAAACCTGCCTTTGGGTGAAGTTGCTGGTTGAATGGAATCAAGATTGAGGTCTGCAGTCTCCGAATTCTCCAGGTTCTGATTCTCAGCACTATCTAGCTGGTATTGGTCAAAACCAGGCTCCTCCAGCTCCTTTTCCATGTCCCACTCTAAGTCAAGGGCAGTGGCTTGAAGATCATCATTGTCTAAATACTGTGAATGTCCTGGAGCTCTCTGATCTGCGTTGACCTTTTGATAGGCCATCTTTTTACCTGTGGAAACAAAAGAGGTATAGTTTCTTAAAATAAACAATAAAGAAAACCTCAGTGGTGAAAACAAAACCATAAACCATATTATGTGTCCATAAAATTCTAGTGATTATAATCAGCATAAATGCATTGCCGCTATAGAAAAATCGTGTATAAGTTAATTATTTCTGTTTTGCTATTGATGTTACTATGGGAAAAGAAGACTAAAAATAAAAGTAGATGGCACTTGGTGGAAAAGCTTATGAGAACACCAAATACACACACACACACACACACAAACCTTGGAAGCTTGGAGAGTAAGTCTCAAATGCACAGTTGCATTGAGGATAATGTATTACAACGAAGGCAAAATTTAAGCTTACTCGTTTTCAAAATCACCTTTAAGAAAAAAATTAAGGGTGAAAGCAATAAAACTGCTATTTGGTAGGTTAAAGGGGAAGAAATAAAGGGCCCTGGAATGATTTACATTGCCAGAGCTAATTTTAAAAACTCAAATTCAGGATAAGAAAGCAGAACAACTAAGTGAAGTTGTTCTGCCTATTCAGCAACTCTAGAAATACAAGAAGCAAGATACAGTACATTACATAGTCATGAGTAATTAAAAGGACTGGAAATATTAAAGCTACCACAGAAGACCATGATATTCCATGGAGTTAGTGACATGAATTGGCCCCACTGATTCAACTTTAAATAAAAATCTGGGATGGCATCCATCCAAAGAAGGAAGCCTTTTGCCAGGCTAGGAGAGTTTGGTTTCATAACCTTGCTACAGGAATGGCAGATGGAGGTTTTCCTCCCTACACAGTTTTGGATGACAGTTTGTTGTATCCTGCAGAGTGGCATTAGGATAACTAGGCTAATTAACTACAAGTGGTCTTCAGTCTGTATTCAGTAACCCATCGGTGTGTTATGGCTGCAGATTAAGAGTATTTATAACTAAATTTTCTGTGTATTAGATATGTCACCCCAGCTGGAATCTAAGATCCCTCACTATGTTTTGTGATTTTTCTATGTGCCCTACTGCTGGTAAAGAACAGAACTCACCTGACAACTGATTAGCCAATTGCCTAATAGCCAGTGGTTGACACATAAACTCTAATGAAAAAAATACAAACAAGGACTTTATAAAGGGAATGGCATTATGCACAGAATTATGTGTATACACAGCTCTAGTCCTGGCTGGCAGAAAATCATAGCAATTAAAATGTTCTGAATGTTTAAAAAAGTTCAATATAATTAAATATTAAACTTTACAAAGTAAAAATTGTAATTCTGACTAGATTCTCATCTCCTACCCTATAAACTACGATTTTTGCTTACCTAGAGTTGAGTCAATAAATATGAGAATCCAGTGCATGTCAGCTATTGGGATAGGTCCCTATTCCCCAAGAAAGGCATCGTCCAATCAGAGAGTCAAATACATAAGCAATAAATAAGTCAAGATATGCAAAATATAAGGGAGAATCAGGGGTGATTGATTCTACAGAGAATATGGCAAAGAATATCCCAAGTGACCTCTCAGGTATTTTTGACTAAAGAAAAGGAGGTAACTAGGGCAGACCAGCATTGTGAGAGGAGGGCATGCACGCAGGGGGAGATCTATGAGCATGCAGAATGAGAATGCATGGTGTGTGGACCACACGAAAACCCGGAGTAGTATGCTGTGGCTAAAGATGCAGCACATGGGTCAGAGATTTAGACAAAATCAAGGGAAGGTGATCTCGGACAAAAGGTTGAACTTCTCTGCAACCCAGGGTATTCATCTGTGAAATGGGTCTGATAACACTGTAAGTCTCACAGTCTCGCCATTAGGATTAACAAATCCATTGAATGCTGCATGGGTCAGAAGGAACATTTGTAGTATTAGAGGAAGGAGAACTGTCAAGGATCGCTGGAAGAGGTAAAATGAGTTCAGTAACGTAGTAGACATTCTATAATTTGGAGAGACACTGTGGGGAAAAGCAGACGGTTGAGTAACATTCATGTGCACAGACACGCCTGTATAATAGTGACTGGCTCGTCTGACTTTTGAACATTCCATCTACGTGGAGAGACTAAACCATTCGTGAAAACACCGCATGCCATGCTGATGGTTATCATGCCGGGATGCCCTCGGGGCTGCAGGCCCGGGACCAGCCTTGGGAGTGGGCCTGCAGACCCTTCATCCTTGCGCCTTTCCTGCGCGGCCCCCTTCTGCCTGGCCGGTTTCCAGACTGCCTGAAGGAAGCGCAGCAAGTGAACTGTTCTAGTCACATCAGGGCAAGTAGAGAAAGGGAGGCAAGTAGGGAGCGAGTGATAATTACTCAGCTTGGTTAGGAGGTGATGGGATGACTGATGAGGAAGAATCAAGTCACTGTTAAGTAGGAGGAATGGAGGGGAGGGGGAGGGGAGAAACTAGGGGTAGGGAAACCTAAAAGAAGTAGAAATGTAGAATCTCTAAAATTCATGATAACCCTGATATTCCAGAAGTGGAAACCGAGTTCCAGAATTGAATGGTTCTTTTAAGGCTGAGAAAGTGATATTTAGGTACACACTTCTTAAAGTAAGTGCAGTTTTATAAAAATATGAGACTGAAAAGTTGGTGGTAAACTTTTAAATACTTAAGTACTCCACAATTCAACTTATTTTAATGTATAGTAAAAAACACTGTGATTTCTTAGCACTAGTCAGATTTTCCTGTTTGGCTTAGACATCACTATGTTCCTGCTATCTTGACATGATATTATATTTACTTCTTTAACTGTTCAGTTCATGTATTATTGATTAATTTACTTAAAACGCAGTCCCAATGTGGTCTTCTAGATTTTTTTTCATCTCATTTTTTCATCTCATGTCTCTTTCTCTAGAGGCTTTTTCAAAAATTGAATTATAGGGCAATAGAATATAGTTTATGTTGAAGGGAGACTTGACACATAGGAGTTACTACTAAAATGTAAGATCTCTAATTCTGACCTCTAATACAACCATTCAAAGTCATTTCTCTACAAATCACTTTAAAAAAAAAACAACTGTCCTGATGAGGTAGGGTTTTCATTTCTAGCCTGACAATAGGCATTCCATCACATGTACATCAGCAATTTAACGCTTTTCAAATATCAGACAGAGCCATCAATTAGAATGTAATGCAGATACAGATATTAACTCCTCATTATGATGGATATCTGCCTGACATCTTTACTACCACTTTGGACTCATTACACATTTATAAATTTTCACTAAATTCCAGGAGAGTAGTATCTGAGGCAAAGGTAGATGGAGTCACTTGATGTAACAAAATCCAAGTATTTCAGGAAAATTACCAAGGAAATAAGTAAGTGATAACATGTACAATAAAGAATTTTAACCACTTATTGGTTTAATACACACACACACATACACATATATATAAATTTCTTTAAAATTATCTTGCTTTAAGGAAAATAGGATAGCTTTTGCAAAAATATAACATAAATTTCTCCCTCAGAGTTTTGTTTTATTTAATCAACCAATTTAAAATGAACTCAAAAACAAAACTGAGTGAGAAACTACTAAGTAAATAAAACTTTGATATTATATTTGATTTTGAGTGAGAACAAAATCCATGGCTCCCAGAAAGATATAACTTTCTTTAAAACACCTATGCCTTATGAGACTAGTAAAGGACACATCACATTTCTTTTACCAGAACATTTCAATTCCCAACTGCAATGAAAATATTATATTATAAAAAGAAATCTTCAGCAGAATTAGCATGTCTTAAATATCATATATTATGCCATTCGGCCATATATTTTCTATTACTGATGCACAAGATTCATTTAATTTATATTGTCATAGTACTTTACAGCTACTCCACTTGAGTAATTTTAAAAAAAGATTTTAGAATCTACCCCATGAATCTTTCTCTAAATGATAAGTACTTTGTTGTTGGCAGGTCATAGAAATGTGTGGCATTTCTTTAAAAAATATATCTGTAACAACCTTATAGTCTATATTGTGCCACTGGTTTTTTCTATAAAGAGCAATTTTTAAAAAAATGTTGAATATATTCTCCATGTTTTCAAAATATCTTATTCATTTAAGTTAGATCCTTCCCACCCAGGCCCACACCAAAGGCTAAATTGTTTTTAAAATTCACTATATTAAAATGTTTATTTTTTTATAGAGAGTAGTTCTCCCTTATTTGCAGAGGATAGTTCCAAGACACCCAATGGGTGCCTGAAACCTCAAATAATATAATATCCCATATATATTGTTTTCCCTATACATGCATGCCTATGATAAAGTTTAATTTATAAATTAGGCACACTAAAAGATTAACAACAGTAACTAACAGTAACATAGAATAATTATAACAATATACTGCAATAAAAGATATGTGAATGTAGTCTGTCTCTCAAACATTTAATTTCTGAAAAGTTTTCCAAAACATTTCCCCCCACAAATTTAGTGCCTTTTCCTCCTTAACAAGTATTTATCATGCACTGTGGTTGTACCTTTTGCATTTTTGAGGTGCAACAGAAAAACTAGCACAGATTTTTTTTAGCTTCACAATTTCACAAAGAGAAAATTCATTCTCACAGTAGATCTTAGCAACTTCAGCAGTTACCATTTTTTTTTCTTTCCTTATTAAGTCAAGAACTTTCATCTTTTCACTTAAATGAAGCACTCTGCAGCTTCTCATTGGCATATCCAAAATGACTTCATCACCACTCTTGCACTTTGGGGCCTTTATGAAGGAAAATAAGGGTTACTTGAATACAAGCACTGAGATGCCAGGACAACCTGATAACTGAGACAGCTACTGAGTGACAAACAGGCCAGGAGCATCTACAGGGTGGAGAGGCTGGACAATGGGAAGATTCACTCTTGGGCAGGACAAAAAGGATAGTAGCAGCCTGGCCGGCATGGCTCAGCGGTTGAGCATCAGCCTATGATCCAGGAGATCTCAGTTCAATTCCCGGTCAGGGCACATGCCCGGGTTGCAGGCTCGATCCCCAGCAGGGGGCATGCAGGTGGCCAAT